TCACGGGCCGCCAGCCCGACGTCCGCCACCGCCGCTCCTTAGCGGGTTCCTCACCGCGCAAGCGTAGTGCTGCCGGCCACCGCGGCTCCGCGCGCTACAGGCATGCGCGTGCGTGCAGGCCGGGTCGGCAGAGGCGCCGGCGCAAGCGCAGACCGGGACCGCTCGCCGTCCGCCGCCCCTCCCCCACTCGCTGAGGGGCTTCGAGGGAGCGCTCGCAAACAGCAACCTGTCTCCACGCCGCGCCGCCTCCAGGACCGAAGGGCTCCCTCTACAGGGTGCGCTCACACAGCCAACAGTGTCGCCATGCCGCGTCACGGCATCGTCCGAATGTCGGCAGACGCCTCAACCCCAGCGTGCAATCACCAGGGAACCGCCACAACCCAGGCCGCCCCGTTACCTCCCCCTTTGGCACTTCCACTTCTTTAATTGGGCCGTCGGTCACGCGCGGGGCAGGCCCTGACTGGAGTTTCCGGAAGTCGGTTGGTAATTATGCCCGTCAATCAGGCAGTCTCCTAGGCTACTGCGTCCGTCACTTAATTAGCTGCTGGGAGAGCAGCGAGGACCCCTAAAGGGGAAATGGGTGGCTGAATAAGTGCCTGAATGAAGACTCCGCTGAGGAAAGCCCTCAGGATGCCTAAGGAAACTTCTAAAACTCGCGAAAACTTCTCAGATTGCGGGACCGAGAGCACCCGGCCCCAGCTCGGAACCCAGATAGGAATGTCAGGCAGAAGCCGGACACACGTTGTAGGGGTACAAGCCAGCCTGCTGTCGCGGCCGCCGCCGCCCGGAGCAGACGTTCCGCGAGTCACGTCCCGGTGACGGCTGGCGCGGGGGCGCGCTGGGGTGGCGTCAAGCCTCCTGGGTGCTGGAGATGAGCGTGGAGGCACCTCCTCCGGCAACGGCGGAAGAAAACTCCAGGAATTGAACGGGAGCAAGGATAAAGCTAAGCTATAATGACTGAAGTCAATTCGAAAAAGTTTTGAAGCAGTCAGCAAAGGCGTGGCCGGGCGCGGGGTCTCACGCCTGTAATCCCAGCACTTTGCAAGGCCGAGGGGCACGGATCACTTGAGCCTAGGAGTTCGAGACCAACCTGGCCAACATGGCGACCCCATCTCTACAATTAAATTTTTAAAATGAGCTGGGCGTGGTAACAAAACAGAAAGGCGTGGCTGTGCAGGATGCACTGGAGGGCTTCAACAAATGGGGGGTTCTGCTAAAAAATCTCCCATGTCTCCCCAGGATAAAGTCCAGCTGCATTATTTGGCGCTCAAAGCCTTTCTTCAAGACTCTTAGGGCCTTGCCTCCTCCTCTCCCCTCTTTCCACGTACGCTGAGCCCCAGCCCTGTCATCCTGTAAGCCAGGTCTACAAACATACTGTGTGTCACCTCCTGGTCTTTGCCCAGTCTGTTTCTGCCACCTGGAATGCCAGTTCCTTATCACCCGTCTCTTTGTTTTTATTTTTATTTTTTGGGCAAAGTCTCTGTTGCCCAGGCTGGAATGAAGTGGTGCAACCCTCGCTGACTGCAACCTCGACCTCCTGGGTTCAAGCGATCCACACCTCAGCCTCCTGGGTAGCTGGGACTACAGGCGTGCACTACCACGCCCCGCTAATTTTTCTGTTTTTAGTAGAGATGGGGTTTCACCATGTTGCCCAAATTGGTCTCAGAAATCCTGGGCACAAGGATCCTCCCGCCTAGGCCTCCCAAAGTGCTGCGATTACAGGCGTGAGCAACCGTGCCCAGCCTGGAATGGACGTTTTTTAAAAAGCTTATCAAGTTTTTACTATGTGCCGGGGCCTATATATGTATACTAACCCAATTAATCCTCCAAACACCTCAACGTGGGGGGCATTATCATCACCACCATATATATAGGGAAACAGGCCCAGATAAGTGAAATGACCTGACCAAGGCCATACAGCCAGTATGTGGCCTAGTGACAATTCAAACCCAGGCAGCCTGGTTCCAGAATCTGTGCTGTCCTTCACCGGGGCTCAGAGAGGGGAGGGTCCTAGCTCAAGAGCAGTCAGGGAGGAACACAGGGAAGCTTCCAATGCAGTGTCTGCAATATGAGAGGCTGTCTCAACCTAGAGGATGTGAAGAGGTGATTCATATTTTGGCTCAACCTGGAGGATCCACTTCCAAGTGGCTGCATGTGGTCTATGTGGTAGGCCCCAGTTGTATTCTGAAAGCCAAGAGGGCCCCCTGGTTTTCACTCTTTGCCACATTATCCCTTCCTGAGCCCCATAGTTTAGCTTGACTAGGGAAAGGGTTTAGGGCAAAAGTAATTAGTGAGCCTGACACCCCTTCCCCCCCCCAACACCATGTATGATCTCACAACACTAAGAAATGAGGGGAAGAGGGCAGGCCTCAGGGCTGCCTCATGTTGTAGCCACTGTGCTCTGTTTTGGGGGGTCCCCACACTAAGAGAGCACCAGCGCTGCTGGCAGAACCCCAGGGGCAATGTAGGTGAGCTGCTGCCAGCTATGGCCCCTGCACAGTGGTAACTTGATTGACACCACACTCTTTCTGGTGAGTTCCTTACTTTTCTCACCTCAGGGTTTGCTTCTGGGGAAAGTCAACCCAAAGCAACGGTGAAAAATGGGACAGCCCTGTGGCATTTGTATCAGGGACTCTTTCTTGATCCTCTCCATCCTAGGATGGTCTAATTGCCCCCCCTGGTCCTGCCAGCTGGACCTTCTAATCTCTCCCAAGTTACCAACTTCTACCCACCCCTGTCACTATCACTAGAATCCATGCCACAGTTTTCCAGTTAACACTGCAGCAGCCCCTCTGGTCTCCCCAGCTCCTACATTCACTCACTGCTTGGTGGTCAGCGTGGCTTTCACAAAGTACAACCTGTGCAGGCTGTGCCACCCCTTCCCCCTCTGGCAAACCTTTGAAGGCTCCTCATGGCTCTTGGGATGAAATCCTAAATTTTTTTTTTTTTTTGAGACTGAGTCTCGCTCTGTTGCCCAAGCTGGAGTACAGCGGTGCGATCTTGGTTCATTACAACCTCCACCTCCTAGGTGCAAATGACTCTTGTGCCTCAACCTCCCTAGTATCTGGGATAACAGGTGCTTGCCAGCATCCCTGGGTAATTTGTGTGTGTGTGTGTGTGTTTTTTTTTTTTTAAGACGGGGCTTCACCATGTTGGTCAGGCTGGTGTTGAACTCCTGACCTCAAATGATCTGCCCGCCTTGGCCTCCAAAGTGCTTGGATTACAGGCGTGAGCCACCACGCCTGGCCTAATTTTTGTATTTTTAGCAGAAACGGTTTCACCACATTGGCCACGCTGGTCTCAAACTCCTGAGCTCAAGTGATCCACCTGCCTCAGCCTCCCAAAGTGTCCCAGCATGAGTCGCCACACCCGGCCCAGAAATCCTAAATTATTATTATTATTTTTTGGAGACGGAGTCTTGTTTTGTTACCCAAGCTGGATTGCAGTGGCATGATCTTGGCTCACTGTAGCCTCTGCCTCCCGGGTTCAAGCAATTTTCTTGCCTCAGCCTCCTGAGTAGCTGGGACTATAGGTGCATGCTGCCACACCCAGCTAATTATTTGTATTTTAGTAGACGGGGTTTCACCGTGTTGCCCAGGCTAGTCTCAAACTCCTGAGCTCAGGCAATCCTCCCGCCTAGGCTTCCCAAAGTGCTAGGATTAGAGGCGTGAGCCATCACACCCAGCCTAGAAATCCTAAATTTTTTTTTTTTTTTTAAGTTGAAATCCTAAATTCTTAATGTAGCCCAGAATCCCTACTCAAACAAACCATCTTTGGAGTCCTCTTCAGTCTCAGATCCTGCCACAAGTAATGCGTACCTCAGGGTCCCTGCATATGTTGTTCTCCTCATTCCCTGGCTAACTCCTACTCACAGGTCTCGTCCTAGTTTGTGGTGATTTGACTGTGATTAACTGCTAGTGCCTGGTATTTGCCTAGGTATTTGGATAGCTCGAATGGCTGAATGAGTAGGTAACTCTTTTCTCTGCTGCCATGGATCTTGCAGTTATGCCCCCGTCTACCTATCTAGTCTCCCATTCCCAAGCCAAGTGCTCCCTGCCCCACAGAAACTCCCCAGAGAACCAGCACTTTCCAACAACATTCATTCGTTTATTCTTTCATTCATATGACAAGTATTTTTAAAGTGCCTACTCTGTGTTAGGTGTTCTCTGGTTTCTGGGGGATACAGCAGGAAACAAACACGATTTTCTCTGGAATTTTTATCCCGCTCTCTTCCATCTATTCTTAGCAAACTCCTACTCATCTTTCAAAACTCAACGCTAATGTCCCATTTTCCAAGAAGCCTTTTCCCAGACTTCTCCCTTATACCACTCTCAAACTTGTGTGGTCCATCAAGTGACGGGGCTCTGGGGTTGGGGATACCCAAGGAGTGAGGGAGGATCTGTTCGTAGGCAGTGAGTCAGGGGCCTAAGTTACCTCCAACTCCTGCCTCCTCCCTCAGGCTTGTTTTCCAGCCACTTAGAAACTCCACGGAGAAATGGCTGCCAGGCACACCTTTTGTTTGCACAGAAATAACCAGGCTAACTGGCAGTACAAGGAGGGGCCCCTTAGGAGGACAAGTAGGGCTGGGATGTGGAGTTGGAGCAGATTCCAGTGTCAGACCCTGAGTAAACTGAAGGCAGAGTACAGTTCATCTAGGCAACTGGTGTGGGGCTTCTGTGCCATAGCAGGAGTTAGGGGCAGGCTCTGCAATAGGTACAAGGCAGGAGGCCTCAGGGTCCTGCCTTCTGCTCCACTCCACCGTGGGCCAGACATTGAAAGTTCCTCCTGCTATCTGACCCGAGTCTGCATGCTGCCATTCCATCCCAGCTCAGGAAGGGTCTTCTTGGGTTCTTGAGGATTTGAGTTGTTCCTCCCTGCCTCCTTTTGGTGTCCTCCAAGGTTCTGGCCCCTTATAGGGGTCATTGATCCTGAGAGATCCACTGACTACCCTGAGGCCACACAGTGAGTCTTCTGGCAGAAGGTACTGGAGGGCTGGGGGCTGGGTCAGAGCAGGGTGATCTCGCTGGGGGGCAGTGTGAGCCGCTTCTCACGGGCACTGAGCAGGTTCTCCACGTGCACGGCCACCACGCGACAGAGTTCCAGTCCCTGCAGGTGACAGTGACAGTCTACACCCATCCAACCCTTCCCCAGCTCTTACCTTGGAGTGGGACGTGCAGAAGGGAGAGGTGGTTGGGAGATAGGTGGAGACCACCATTCATTCAGGAACCCTTGTTCCCACCTCCCCCAGGGCCTACGAGGAGCATGAGGAGCTGGAAGAATGGTGGACTGTGGGCTGCAAGGGGTAAGCAAGCAGGAGATCAAGTGCATCTGCCAGCTTTGCTCCGTGTGAGCTGTGTGACCTGGGGTCTATTGCTTTGCCTCTCTGAACCTCAGTGGCCTCATCTGTAAGATCTCAATTGACGGTGGGCTTGCTTCACAGGGCTGTGGTGAGGGTTCAGTGAGACTTTATTGCATGTAAATTCTTTAGATTTAAAAAATATGAATCCAATCAATAAATGGTAACAGTTTGTCTGTTGCCATGGTTACTGCCTGGCTCCCACAGCACACAATGGGCAGTGACCGAGGCTCAGTGCTCCCAATTGGAGTGGGTATAGGGGAAGGCATCAATGAATTGCAGAAAATCGATCTATGAATGTGGTTCTCAGATCAAAGTCGTTGTTGGAATCCCCCCAGGGAAGCTGCTCTGAGAAAGGATAAAATCATGTTAGTAGCACTCTCTAAGTGTTAACTGTGTGCCAGGCCTTGTACTAAAGGCCTGATGTGTCCTACCTGTTTTAATCCCCCCAGTGTCTCTAAGAGACAGGAGCTATTATATCCCATTCCACAGGTGGGGAAACTGAGGTGCAGGGCCTTGAAGCTCCAGACTGCACAACTTGTAGGTGGTTGGGATTTGAACCTGGATGGTAAGAGGCCTGAGGGCCACACTGTGAAGTGCCTGCCCTCTGCTGAGGTTAGCTGTGCTGGCCCTGCCTTGTGGGCCACCTTAGCTAATTAACTCAGTATGCGCAAATGGAGTCTTCCCCTCCAGCCAATGCTTTACCTACCTCCTTGCTGCCATGTTCTAGGCCTTGCTGGGATTGTTGCTGCATTTGACAGTATGGAAGCTGAGGCTCAGTGAGAAGCAGGGATGCCTCAAGATACCCTCAGATAGTCTGTCAGAGGTAGACAGGATGGAGGCCCAGGTCTATTGCAACACTGCTGCACTCAGACATCACCTCCTCCTGGAAGCTCTCCCTGATTACCTCCCAGATAGCACAGGTTCCCTATATACCCTACCAGCACTGATCAAGGGATATTGGAGAGATTCTTTTATATCTGAGACTCGAGGCTTTGTGAGGGCCAGGGCTGAGGGGGTCTCAGTCATTTCAGTATCTTTGCTATACAGAGATGCTCAATGGATCTGAATGCATAAATGAATGCAGCCCCTGACACATACAGGCCAGAGGCAGAGGTGGCAGCATAAAGAGAATAGGTGGTGCTGCAAGGAAGTAGGAAAACCAAAGAGGCCTTCATCCATCCATCCATCCATCCATCTATGCACCCACCCATGCAATCCACAAATATGTATTGAGCATCTACTATGTGCCAGGCACTGAGCTACGGACACAGCATGAACAAGATGGACATATTCCTGCTTCTTGGAGCTGGCATTCTGACGGGAGAATGACACAGTTTGGATATTTGTCCTTTCCAAATTTCATGTTGAAATGTGATCCCCAGCCAGGTGTGGTGGTTCATGCCTCTAATTCCAGCACTTTGGGAGGCCAAGATGGGTCGATCACTTGAGGCCAGGAGTTTCAGACCAGCCTGGCCAACATGGTGAAACCTCGTCTCTACTAAAATTAAAAAAAAAAAATAGCCAGGTATGGTGGTGCATATCTGTAATCCCAGTATTTGGGAGGCTGAGGCAGGAGAATTGCTTGAACTGGGGAGGCAGAGGTTGTAGTGAGCTGTGATTACTCTCCTGGGCGACAGAGTGAGAACTTGTCTCAAAAAAAAAAAAAAATAGAAAAAATAAATGTGATCCCCAATGTTGGAGACAGGGCCTGGTGGGAGGCAAATCCCTCATGAATGACTTGGTAACCCGGAGGTAATGAGTGAGTCTTCACTCTAATAGTTCACACAAGAGCTGCTTATTTGAACTCTCTGTCTTGCTCCCTCTCTTGTCACACGATGTGCCTGCTTCCCCTTTGCCTCCCGCCTTGAGTAAAAACTTCCTGAGGCCTCCCCAGAAGCCAAGCAGATACTGGCAAGATGCCTCTTGCAGAGCCTGCATAACCGTAAGCCAGATAAACCTCTTTTCTTTGTAAATTACACAGTCTCTGGTATTCCTTTATAGCAACGTAAAGTGGACTAATATAGGGAGACAATACATAAACAAATAACTAAATGATTTCCAAGCCATAATAAGGGCTACGGAGGCATGGATCATGAGTTCTTAGGGAGGAGGGTTACGGAAGCCTTCTGGAAAAAGGTGATATTTGTACTGAAACCCAAATAAAGGGAGAGAGTGGGCCCTGTGATGAATCAGGGAAGAGCATTCCAGGTGGAGGGAACAGTGAGGGCAGAGGGCCCAGAGCAGGAAGAATGAGCTTAGCACGAGGGAGCCAGGGTGGCTGGAGAAATGAGCAGAGGGGAGGGAGGTGGGAGAGGAGGCCACCAAGGTCATGAGAGGAGGAGACAGGGATGGATGGACTCCCAGGTTTGGGGCCTGAGTGCCTGGGAGGATAGGGAGGAAAGCTGGAGAGGACTGTTAGTTTCCAAGGGAGATGCTGAAGGAGCCTGGAGCTCGGGGGGGGGGTCTGGGCAGAAGGTAGAAATATGGATGCTAGGCTAGGCATGGTGGCTCATGCTATAATCCCAGCACTTTGGGAGCCATAGGTGGGTGGATCATGAGGTCAGGAGTTTGAGACCAGCCTGGCCAACATGGTGAAACCCTGTCTCTAATAAAAATACAAAAAATTAGCTGGGCATGGTGATGTGCACCTATAATTCCAGCTACTCACGAGGCTAAGGCAGGAGAATCTCCTGAACCCAGGAGGTGAAGATTGCAGTGAACTGAGATCACGCCATTGCACTCCAGCCTGGG